GGGGGGGGGGGGGGGGGGGAGGTTCAAAATTCAATAATGAATTTTTGGTCTTACATTAAAATCTACACTGTTAGAAGCCTAAAACAGTCCCGGTTAAGACATTTATATTTTCACTTCATCAGTGAAAAATATGAGATCTAAGTATGAACGTGGTTTTTAACTAAATTTCTAACAAAATTAACAATTTTAGCCGTCAGCAATTATAGACTCGAATAAAAGTGTGATGAGCCAATGAAATGAAAGCAACGAATTTAAGTATTGCGTTTCAAAATATTTTCATTTATATTTTACCCCGACTTTATTTATATAAACTGTATACGTAAAACGAAAATGATGTATTAGTAGTTTTAAAGCAGGGACTAGCTCACTGAGACTCCTGTCATGACTGTGGGCCTTCCAGCGCTGTTCAGCCCTCACTCCTCCGATCACAGGCCGCTAATGAGCGAGGACTGCCTCAGATAATGCTGTGATCCCCTCATTAACGCTTACGCGCCAGAGCGCGACGCGCCAGACTAGAACGCTGTGACAACACGCGGAGCTGGCAGTGCAGAGCGCGTCGTTCAGAGTCACAGGCGCGTTCCGTAACACACGCATGCAGCGTATATCAGAACATTCTAGTTTGTCGCGGTGCGTCGCTATAGACTGCAGTTCTTTACCTGTGAGGTTCTCCAAGTCTTTCTCCTCCAAGGATGAGAGAGTGTCATCGTCCTCCAAGAGCAGCTCACTCTCTGAGTTCTGATTCCCCAGCACTGAACTCCTGATGGACTGTTTGCCTTTCAGCACGTCCTCCTCTGGAGCTGCACAAAACCAAACACATCAAATTCCTTCAAGACAAGCGTAATCGCGCAAAAACTTTAAACGACTGTCAGTTTACTTCTACTCGGGTAAGTTGACTGCACAAGCCATATGATTTTTGAATATTTTATAATAAAATTCTAAACAATGAATAAACACGTTAAGCGCAATACTGTCATGTATTTTTTTTTGTCCTACATGGCCTCGAGTCAACATAACAACAACACATCAAGACTATACTAGCCCATTTACTTTTATTTTTTGGATCCGAACTTAAACATTTTTACTTGCATCATGTTAATAGTTTGAATATTTAAACATAATGACGGCAAATAGAATTGTCGTGGAGAAATTAATGCGTATTTGATTTTTTAAAAAAGTCGATCTTTGTGAAAAAGGTGTAGCTGAATTTTCCCCAAAACCAGATTGTTATTTAGGACATGGTTCTTTGTAATTTGGCATGTTGTTTTACCTGATAATCAGAAATAATAAAATATCTTTCAAATCAAAGAAAATACACATTCAGCTGACCAAAGTGCTTGTCCATAATAGACTTTCTGATTCTATTAGTAAAGAAAATCTAAAAAGGATATGCTTGTGTATGGGCTTAATATTCATTTATAGATTTAAAGTCTAAAAACCTAATATATATATATATTAACAGAGCTACTTGTTGGCATTAAAACTTTTTGAATTGCAATTAAACCGAAACAGACATTCTGGTTCATATGCCAAGCTTACTCTGACAAAAATCAGGAGTGGCCCTGTCTGATTTCAACTGTACATGACTTGAGGTTCTGCATAGATTATTTAAGAAAAATGGTAATCTGTAAACATTTACAGAGCACTGCATTCCCAAGTGGTGAGGAGCAAAAACGGGTCTACAGTAGAAACAAAGGCAATCCTTCATCTACGTAAACACTCTCATCAGACTGCTTCGGCCGAGCGGAGCTACACTGAGTCCAGTCCAGAACCGTGTGGACGGAGAGCCATGTGACCTCTGCCCCCTCTCTCCAGATACATCACCTGAGGGGGTTTGAATTTGCACTTGAAGCAAAACCCTGAGACAAGTCTTTATAAATAGAGCCTTAGACCATTAGAAAAGCAGAGCAAAGAAATCTCTTGTCATGGAAAGTATGCTGGCGCACTGATATTTAGAACGGTCTTCCTGTAATTAACTCTCCCCAGAGAATTTGTAGTTGGCAGCAGTGAAATTACTACCAGCTTCCTAATACATACCACATGCCTGTGCGCTCACGCCAGACAGACTGGACACAAGGATGTGACAGAAATATGGTGTTACTTCTGTGAAGTCAACCATAATAATATTTATTCCTATTTATTTACTATTGTGTCTGAAGCTATAGCTGAGCCGGAGTCACTCCTTCCCAATGTTTTGTGATATAATAGATGACAAACTGCAATGAATGTTGGATACATGTAACCCGAAATAACAAAACTCTAGTATATATTATTATTTCAAATCACAACTTAAGTTGCAAGAAAACTTCAAGATGTAAAGCTGCATTTTTAATGTAACAACTCGGCAACTCAGTGAGTGCTGACACTCTGATCAGAAACATAATTAGGAAAACTTAGAGAGAATGAAAAAAAATTATTAACACACACACACACATATATACATATATATATATATATATAGAGAGAGAGAGAGATAATCAATAATGAACAAATATTAACATAGATAGATAGATAGATAGATAGATAGATAGATAGATATCAGACAGTAAAAGAATAAAGAAAAAAAAAACATGAAAATTAATATAAGTCACTAACATCATTTACATTTTATAGATAGATAGATAGATAGATAGATAGATAGATATCAGACAGTAAAAGAATAAAGAAAAAAAAAACATGAAAATTAATATAAGTCACTAACATCATTTACATTTTTTTTTACCAAATTTTATTTTGGCTTTAAAATGACATGTATTCATGTATTCTGCACATCCACTTAAATAATGCTGTTCAATCAAACATCGGATACCTAGTAGACAAAAAAAAAGTGTTAATAAAAACTGGAATGAAGAACAACTGTGCGAGTGCCCTAAACGAGTCAAAAACCCGTGCTGTAAGATTATATTCATACATCAGCTTTACTTAAATAACTCATTCATTCCCCTCATTCAGCAAATGCTAATGTAAATACATGCAGTTGCGTTACACTTTTAAGCTCTGTTTCCCTTTTCCTTGCAGGTTCAAATGCTCATTTATATGCGACTTCGGAGGCAAAGCAATTAAATTGTCAGAATTAACAAATTTGTTTTTAACACAAGAGCAGCCAGGAGTGAAGTCAGGAGGTGCGTATTGATCACAGGAACAGAGACATTAGTCTTCAGGTATTTACACTCCTACGAGTAGCCCAACACCAGCCCACACCAAGCCAAATCAATCCCCAGAAAAGATGGCGCTTTCCAGCCATATATACATATCTTACCAAACTACCAGCATCCGCCTTAGGGGTGTAAATCGTACCGCTGTTTCCTGGCTGGCGATGAATGATCGCAATTGTGCATGCCAAAAAAGGAAGTTTTGATATGATGATGTATTTTGAGTGATGAAACTAAAATAATTTGCAAGCAAGCCTTTCTATATATTCATCAAAAAGAAATGCAGTTTCTTTTAAATGCCAGGACACCACTGTTATTTAAAAAATAATAAAAAATAATAAAAATTAAACTGTGATGCCTTATACGTCCAAATGCCCAAATGTAAATTGTATATATTTTTTCTGTCAACTAAATTTTAAGTATAGAGAAAAGCCAATATATGACCTATTGGATTGCCAAAAATGTCACAAAATTGCTCTTAAAAAAAAAAAAATCTTGACTTTCTCTTTCACATGTCATGAGAATAATCACAGCCAGATATGACCCTTGTGCTCTGTTTGAAAACTTGAGATCTTGGCCAAGACTTTTATTCCACTTCCGCAACAAATTTAGGGTCAGCAGAAAAGACACAAGCTTTCCATGGAGGAGGGGGTAGATAAACATCAGTGTCATGAGCATCAATTAACTGCTTTTTTGTTTGTTCACTGTCCATAATCACTTATTTTGAGTTAAGAATCATATACTTCGTTTAAATACTAAATTATTGATTAAATATGCACTTGAGTCATAATAGTTTGTGTGTGTTTATCCTATACAGGTTTTTAGGTAAAGTTGTCAGACAATTAATATATGCACATAAATACTTGATGGATTGATTATTTCCTGCGCTGGATGGTCACTAGGGAAGCGTTCGAGAATAATGAAGAGTTTTAAGGCCTCAAAGTTTTAGGTTCCATTTCAAAGGGGATCCAAAGTGTTCCTTAAGGAACACTTGAACTTAACCAAGTCTGAAGTTAGCAAAAGAAAAAGAGAAGAATACAGAGAAGAAAAAGTGGAGGACGGAGCAAAAAGAGAAATCACTGGGTCCCCTCAGGGCCCTCCATCCAGCTGCATATTATGACCATTAGGGCGGCAACATTGGTCTCTGAGGATGCTGGGATTCTGAGCACTTATTGCTTTTAGATCACATTCTTATTGACTTCTGTCACATCGGTCGTTTGTCTTGAGGACCCGTGTCATTCTGAGGGGGTCTAAGCAGTGACATATTGGAGACATTTTTTCTCAGAAACGGCCCCGTTTCCGAGGGGTGCAATAGGTTAAGCTGCTCAAGCCCAAGTACTGAATGGCACTGATCGTAAAGCCTGCCATCTCTCAGTGTGGCTAAAAGATTATTCAGAAAGAAAAGATTATTCAGGAGTCTGCGAAACATCTCACATGCTGTATACGCATTGCTGCACTGAAGCAGAGCTCAGATTAACATAACGAATACAAAAGAGAGAGGAACGGATTAAAATCAGATGAACTTGCTGTACATCTCAATGCAAGGTGAATGTGTTGAACACAGAAGCAATTGTAAAGACATTAAATGAGGGTAGGAGAGCGAACAAAAGCCCGATGAGTTTACTAACCTCAAGCTTACTTGCAATAACATGGTAAAAACCAACCCAGAATGGATAACTCATTATATTGTTATAAATATGTGGAGTTCATTGTGGATTATAGGATGCATTTTTCAAATGGGATGACTTCTTAAATGAATGAGAAACAAATATTATGTAATAAATTATGCACATTTTATATAAATCAAGTAATTGGATGGAAAACAACCGAAGGGGCTTTTTTAATTCCTTTTCTTATTAAAGTGAGTAATTAAAAATGCATTACTGAAGCAGAGCTCAGTTTAACATAACGAATACAAAAGAGAGAGAAACGGATTAAAATCAGATGAACTTGCTGTACATCTCAATGCAAGGTGAATGTGTTGAACACAGAAGCAATTGTAAAGACATTAAATGAGTGTAGGAGAGCGAACAAAAGCCAGATGAGTTTAATAACCTCAAGCTTACTTGCGATAACATGGTAAAAACCAACCCAGAATGGATTACTCATTATATTGTTATAAATATGTGGAGTTCATTGTGGATTATAGGATGCATTTTTCAAATGGGATGACTTCTTAAATGAATGAGAAACAAATATTATGTAATAAATTATGCACATTTTATATAAATCAAGTAATTGGATGGAAAACAACCGAAGGGGCTTTTTTAATTCCTTTTCTTATTAAAGTGAGTAATTAAAAATGCATTGATTCATTCTGCATTCTGCAAAAAAGGAAACTACATTGCAACAATATTATGCCTACATATGCATGCGAACTCTTACATCTTTTCATGATAGAACTAACAAGTTTTATTTCTTTAGTACACGGAGTTTATACTCTTATAAGAACTCATTCAAGAAGTGTTTTTCAACATTGCAAGATAAATAACAATAAAGATTTTATTAACATTAAAGTTATATGTTGTTTCACTAGTAGATACATCTAGTGCTGAGGAGTCACTAACTATAATTAACTACTAACTGGATTTTTCATGATCTCAGCTGTTTTCTTAACAGTAGGCTATAGCTTCTCCAGTAACAAGCTATACTTTATCCTGAATTACTTTATACATGTTAACAATGTAGCATTTGTTTCACACTGTTTCTGCTTAACTTGTTTCACACTGTTACAGTATGTGCTTTATGTGTTATATTTTGAACCAGATTAAGTAGAAAAATTTGGATCCCGCACACATATATTTTGCCATTGTTTATATTGAAATTGCATCCAACGCACCTATGATTTCTACGAAATAGAAAGGATTCACTGATTCAAATCTCTACATAGAAGACCTAAAAATATTTAGTTAAAAGTTGCTGCTCATTGCTGTTTTTAGTCACGAATAGTCTGTGAATACACACACAAGTGTTTATGTTTAATGCTGTCACCCAACATTACCTTCATTCATTAAAAAATCCTTCTTGTTTGTGAAGCAGAGAAATACTGCTCTAAATTAAATAAAAACTATATATCAGATACTTACATATTTTAAGACATTGCCCCCTTATATAGATGCAACACAGTAATAATGTTAGTAGCATGTAGTGTAGATAAACTACAACAACAATACTCGTTTGTAAAAGTAGTTAACATCTCTAAATGATGAGTAGCTTGTCATTTATAAACTAGAATCCCCAACACTGATGCACACATATCTAATACAAACACAAAACCCTTTGCTGCTAGCTCTCCCACGAACGTCACAACTTTACTCACCTTTAATACCAGCAGCTGACATGCATGGGAAGGAAGGAACACATAGTGACAATTTAAGAACAATTAGCGCTACTTAAGTATCTGAGCTAATGAAGGAAATGCACATGGTAAGTAAACAAATTAGCAGCAAATTACTGCCATAATATTATCAGAGAGACAAGGCCTGAGGACAGTGAGAAAATGTAATGTAATGTCATTTAATTTATAAAGGTTTTACGGTGACTTTAGCTTTCATTTTTACAGCCGTGTACATGTTATCATGGGTAAAAGCTCAACAAACTGGGCTGTGTTTTGTGCGTGAAAGAGTGTAAGTGCATGCATGATGTTATGTGACTATGCATTACCCACCATGCTCTGCTGCAGCCTTGAGCGTGGCCTCAGAGTGTGTGGACCCAAACGGGTTCCTGATGAAGCGCCGACGTCTCCTCAGGTCATCTTCCCAGTAGTCCAGGCGCCAGAACTCCCGCGATCTGCTGCCGAGAGGAAGAGGAAGAGAGAGAGAGAGAGAGAGAGAGAGAGAGAGAGAGAGAGAGAGAGAGAGAGGCACATATGTTAGCAATTACCCAATGCAGAGAGAAGTGGCACAGGAAGAGCTGCATAATACTGGTCTTGTTTTGCTGCAGCCTTCTTCAGTGCAAAGTGCCTAAACTGGAGAATGGCTGACATCAGACACTTATGATAATTATGGTTAATAATAAAAGATACCTGGACTGTGAAAATGTTTGTTGTCAAAAAAAACAAAAAACAAAATTGTATTTAGTTTATTTTTTTTAGATTGTTTTAAAGGGCTATTTTGTTTCATTTCAAACATATTAACAGTACAACAATCATAATAATTTCCAACATTTTATTAAATATCTACATTTAAATCAACTACTTAGGAGTTTTTTATTTTTTGGGGTGAACACTATGCAATATTGCACATTAAAATAAAGGCTGGATTGCATTGTACATTATCTCAGTAGATAAATTCTGTATAATTTTGTAAAGTTTAAAATTACATAATCAGATTGACACATATTGGCCCTAAATGTTTGAACACACTTTAAAAAGTGACTGTCAATAATAAAATACGATAATTACAATTTAACTTAGTCTTCAAGCTAAACAATTCACAGAAAAAGTGTTATACAATAAAAATAATATAATTTACAATTACAACAAAAAGTACACACACACACTCACAATTAAATAAATAATTACCAATTTATCCACTCTAACTAGCCTATAGCAGTGGAACAAAACTGTTAAAATGATACATGTGTGTTCTAATTTTAGAAGTCACAAAAGCACAGCACTCCAGAAATGTTTGTCCTTGGGAGAAACACTGAAGAAGAGCCCCAGATTTTTGCAACACCTCAAGAAGGTGAGATGAGAGCTAAATACATCACACTGAGAATCAGCCTGCTGACACAGCATTCCAGCAAACACACACACAACACGCACGCACGCACACAGAGAGACAGACAGAATGAGGCAGCGCTGTGGTTCCAGGCTCATTTCTGAGCCCAGCAGGACACCTAACAGCAGAACTGCTCAGGAAAGGCAGCACATTTGATTCGATGTCCTTCGCCTTCAGCCATTTTTCCCTCCAATTTGCACCTCTTACCAATGTAAAGAAAACTCCAGTTCTTCCTCGCTCTCCATCTCTCTCTTTTCCATCTTGGGCTCTTGTGTTTTCTCTCGGTGTGTGCGAAAATGCTCACTTTTAATGAATGTACAGTCAGGCGAACAGTTATAACATATTACCCCATTTAGATTCAAAGGACTTTAATTAAAATAATCGCTTCAAATATTCATTATGTTTAGCCCCCTGAGGTACAAGTAAAATACATTTCCTGCACCATAAATGAGTTTAATCTTCAAAAGCTTGCTTAATTTGGAATAGAACGAACTAATTTCAAGCTAGGGGAGGGAAGAGTGTAATTTGTTGAGTCAAATTAAAGTAATTTTTCTGCTGTAATGCACAACGGCACGAGCAATTAATTACACACGTGAACACAAAAGAACTGATTTTGAAACCGACGTGCGATTTTCAAGGAAGGATGAGATAAAATAATGGTTTTGTGAATCTTAAAAAAATGAAGATCAATGATCACATGCCATTCAGAAGGACAGATCCCAGAGCGGGCTGTGGATCCTCTGCGATCCAGTGAGTGAAAGGGGTTTGCGAATGGCTTTAGCAGTGGCTCTGTAGCCATCCTCTGGCTGATTTACTGTAGGCGCTGTGAAATATAACTCTAAGTCCATTCTGTTCTGTGGAAGTGAGAAGAAGTTTTATCGTGCAAAAGGGCCTCCACACCCAGGCCAAATAAATCAGGATAACGGCCACTTAAGAGCCCTCCCTAGTGCTCACCTTCTTTTTTTACGCCCGCATACTTTAACAATCGCCAGCAAACACGCTATTATGACCTAAAATACCATAGAGGTGGGGAAAAAAGACAGAAGGAGCGTATTGAAATAAGTAATTGAGAAAATAGATAAATCAAAGAGTGGTATTGCAAGTCTTCTCAGAATTAATGATTCCATGAAAAATTAAAAAAAGACAGAAATACTTCTGGAAACAGTTACGGCATGTTTTAAAATCCTACTTAAAATTGTTTCTCAGGCGTATGAGGGGCCAAGAAGGTTTGGGTGTATCCGAACGCTGCAGGTTATTCTCAAAAGTGTGATCGATTCGCTCTACTGCAAAAGGCTCAAAACAAATCCCATCTCGTAAAACTAAAGAGAGCGCTTAAACACGAAAATAAAAACATTCTGCTCTTCGCTTGAAAAGCTCAGCGGCTCGACTAATAAGAGACATTAAAGGGGTCATATGATGTTGCTAAAAAGAACATTATTTTGGACTTGAAATCGCATCATTAATATGTTAGTAAAGAATGGGAACCAAGCAAGTACATGCACAAAACACTCATTCTGTAAAAATAGTGCATGACTCCAGTCTCTTGTGTCCACCTAGTCACTAATGAATAAATACAACAACACCACAAAAAACAATCCCCCCCCCCCTTAAAAGTGTATCCCACCGACCAGCTTTCTCACTTCTTACCTCTAATTGCGTTCAGATGCAACTTAAGTATATATATTGTGTTCCTACTTCACAGTCGTGCTTTCCTATATTTCTATTATTGTTCTTAGCAATCTGATTTTTAACTTGCTGATAAATCAGTCTGTGTAAGGCATATAATTACGATATACAAGTCAGCATGTTATGAAGCGTAAATATGCATATGAACATATAATCAGTATGAATTCATATGGATACGATACTCTATGACTTCTCTTATAAAACAGCATGTATTTTGTTGTGATTTCCGAACATAGCTCACTCCTAAATGAATGGCAAACACGATTAGCTGATGGGCTGTCAATTCATAAAGTGATCGCTCATATTGACGCCTCTCTTCTATTGACGGCTCTATTTAAATAAAAATAAATACAATTGAAATTCTGCTGGCTGATGGGAGAATATTGAGTGAATATTGGGTGGGTGATCGCAGTGCTACATGAGAATGCAAACACATAAGAGAGAGACGTATGAAAGAGTGCAAACATTTTGACTGTAATTGTAAAACTGTAAAACTCAAATCGTAGCAAGTGGAACACCAGTAACGACAGGACAGCAAATGCAACAGGATTACTTCAAAATAATGTATAGTCCTCAACACTGCTTTATGAGTACAACTATGAGTTACTGATCGGAATCTGTAGTAAAAATACAATTAACAACTGATAATCACAAAGGCAGGGGCTTTCATGTTTTTATCATTCAGACAAACTGGCTCATCTTTTTTTTGTTTTGTTTTTTTATTCCTTTTTGAGGAATATTTTCATTTTTAACATGTTAGGAAGTTGAGGGGAAAATGACCAAGTTAAATATGGGAAAACAAAATGTGTATTTAAAAATGTGTTGCTATTTCCTACAGTGGTTCTTTGAGGCTTTAAAAAAAAAAAAAACCTGTGCATTTGCCAGCAGCTGTTTCCTTTAACTAAGGGGACATTATTGTTTTTTTACACTCAGAAAATAATACTAACTATTTTTAAAGTCAATGCTGGATCTGTGCGAATGAATGGATTCAAGTTTACCTACATGTTACCTACAAATATGCAAAATATTTACAATCTCATGCCAAAATCCAGGCCTGAGGAACTCAGCAGACACATATCCATTAAACAACAGGCAAGAGAGAGACAGAGCGTCTCATCTGTCTGTGAAAAGATGTCCCTCTATCCAAGTAGCGGCGAGGTGTTTGCATGTGATAGTTTTCTCCATGTAAATAGCCACTCCATCATTCTGACTTCCAGCGTTCATTAATTAAAATGATCACTGAAGGCACAGAGCCGATCCAAGGAGCTCCTCTCCTGTCAGTCTCTGAGAGAGCAGAGATACAGAGAGGATCAATCTGTCTGCAATACAACACCACGCCACATCACTGCAATTAGTCGAGCAGCTGGAAACGCGTTCTCAGTCTCCACACTGTGACAATAGAGCCCTAATGAAGGCAAAGGAAGTGTGTGTGTGCATGTAATCCAACCGCCATCAATCCCAGCAGCACACTCCACGCAGCAAGTGTTTTTACAGCATTAATGAATTATTCATCCATCCTCCCCATCCATCCATCCCTCCTTCCAAAGGGGGTTTCTAACAGGAATTACGCCAGTGCCTTCTCAAGACAACGACAATTACAAAACACAATAGGCCTCTAGAACCGGGCACGTATCTGTGCTGCACTGGCGCAATTAGTAATTAGTACTCTCGTAAAGCAGCCATGACGGAAACAGAGCCGTAAATGGCAGTGGGGAGTTGAAATTGTCTTATTGCATATGCCGAAAGCAACACTAAAGACCCTCCTCCGAACGTGTTTAATGTAAACCACATTTAGCGAGAATTTAACACGAGCAGGGACTTTTATAGGCGCTTGTTAGGTGTAATTGAAATCGTTCTTCTCACCCAGTACCAGTATAAGTGCTGGGTCGCTGGCTGTAAATCTGAACCCGTTTACCAACAGAGATGATGAACGGTGGGCTAATCGTAACGCCGTTTAATACAGATGCCGACCCATTGAGTTAATGAATAAGGAAATAGATCGGAGAGCGAGCAGTAAACAGTAGGACAGAGAGAATCAACAGAGAAGAGGGTCATGTTTTATAAGCTTCAATTGTGCTGCTAAATTGTAGGTTTGCATAAAACAAGCCACACTTCAAGTCTACTTGACTCGAGGGAGGTGTCATAATAAACAAAGCATTTAATTGGCCCATGTGTTGAGAATTTCAGAGTGTGTGTGTGTGTGCGTATGTGTGTGCGTGTGGGATTAATGAGGTGTTTTTTGGAAGTTGCTTGTGCCGCCACACTTCAGAAAGGCATCAGTCTCACACTCCAGCAGCGTTATAAAAGCCTGCAAGGGTTTCGCTGCAAACACAAGCTCTAAATTACACACAGGAACAAGTATACCCACATATGCCCACTCAAGAA